TTGATAACAAAAGTAGAAGTTGTACATTTCAAATAGTTTACATATTTATCAAAACAACCATATCACCAATGCCTTGGAAAGTTACATATGAATCAAAGTATCCTGCTGTGTACTCTTCTATGTATAAATCACCCTCTGTCTTTTCATTCAAGTGAAATTTTAAAAAATAATGGTTCTTTACTTTTGAGTATAACAGTGATGCATACTGATTCTCGATAGCATCAAAAATGTAGAAAACCTAATGGTGAAAATTAAGAGCAAAAATAAGCCAACTACATCATACTTTTAATTTTGATTTATGTGTTTTGATTATATTTTCCTACCTCTATAGATTTAACACAACAAGCTAGAGATAAAAAAAAAGAATAATAATCCAATGTAATTAAATGTTCAGGAATTATTTTAAAAACTTAGTGAAACAAAAATTCATCCCCAAAATTATTTACTTGAAAAAGCTAACAAACAATAAATTATTTTTCAAATATAAACAAGACAGAAATAAAGGAGATGCTATTACTATGAGGAAAGAGAAAAACTACACAACTAAAGATAAACAAAATATATGAAATATTATATAAAATATTAAATAAAATTTTACATATTTGAAAATGTGATAGAAAAGATTATATAGAAAGATATATTTGATAACAGTCTATAAAATTAATGTATATGTATATATGAAGTTACAAGGCAAGGAAATTTGTATGTATGAGATCTGTTAAATCTACAATTAGTGGATAATTTTGGGTATTTTTTACAACTTCATAACCTCATGTAAGTTTTGAGATTTTAAAAAAATTTTTCTCTATGTTCTGGCACTGTTTAAAATCCGGAAGTGGGAAATAAGGAGTTACTGCTAATTGGTACAAGGTTTCTTTTTGGAGATTATAAAAATCTTATAAAATTAGATTATGGTGGTATTTGCACAACTGTATTAATATACTAAAAACCAGGAAATTGTACACTAAACATATGAACATCATGGAATGTAAATTCCAATAACACTGTAAGAAGGTACATACACATTATCTGTCTCTACCAAATTCTCACTATGAACGTATGTATAAATGCTAGATAATACTACCAAATCAACAGCAGCAATTTATTGATAGAATAAGACATCCTGATTAAATAGGGTGTATTTCAGAAAAGCAAGCAATGATGAACTTTAGAAATCCTCATTGAAATATATTTAAAATAAGATTTAAATGATAGTCTGAAAGACATCTAAAATTACTTAGCAAAAGTGAAATGTCCATTCTTTATTTGGTAATGAAACATTTAGCTCAATTTAGAATAAAAGCAAATGACTTAATCTTATAAACATATGCAACAAAAACCTACTTAATTAAAAACAGGACAAATTTTAATAAAGTCTGAAATGAAGAAATGATTTACCATTAACATTCAAAATGTCCTCTGTTAATACAAATAAAATTATGTAAATATATAAGATAAAGTAAATGCATGTAATATATTTTCCATTTTAATTTAAAATTAGACATATAAGAATATGGGCTTTTAGAATGAAAGCACATATTGAATAAAACATAAGCACAATATATGAATATATAAATTTATACATTAATACAATATATAGATATATTTAATAAATATGTTAAAATATATATATCACATATATATATTCCCTATAGTAGCAAAATACATCTGAACATGGGTTGCATTCTTGACTTAGTGAAATCTATTAGAGTAATAGATTAGAGTGCAGCCAAGAAGAAGGAGAGTATTAAGTCTGTAACATTACAAGTAGGAAATGTATTTCATATACAAGTGTATACTATAGTGGAGAACATGAAGAATAATATAAGTAATCTTCCTGAGCTGTGGCTGAATCACTTTCAGTAACTTGATTTGATTTTATTCATGAATAGATATTTCTATACTCCCCTTTATCTCCTGCAAATTGAGTATTTGGAATTTATATGGGGCAATAAATAATATGATTGGGTTTCTGTTTTGTTTTTGTTTTGTAATGGTGGTAAAATATCTCCTGCTTTTTCTTTTTACAAGTATTCCAGGAAGATTGTAATGAATCCATATTCACACCATCACCCTGTAAAACAATGTATACATCTGCCAACTTATTAAACAAAATCTGTGTGATCTAGTTTTTACTTTATTTATTTTAATCGCAGGAGACTAAACATTTAGAAACAGTTTATTAATAATTTAGCTATCTGAATAGACTGGACTTTTAAAAACATTTTTCTATTAGAGTACTAGTCTTTTTAACTTGAAAATATTATTTTTATGTTTGTTGACATTTTCTCTGTTTTCAAAGTGTGATTTTAGAAAAAGTCTTGGATGAGATATTTATTAATATCCATCATGTGACAGGCAGTATGTAGAGACCCAAGGTACACAGTTGCTATCTTCAATGAACTTACAAAATGTTAGTTAATGCAGACATGAAAACACCGAGTCTCAATATAAATGTGATAGGTGCTCTTTCGTAACAAGCAAAAGTTGCCAGAGAGCAAAGACAAGTGTTCAACCACATTTTTTAATGTAGTAATTTTTTCCTTTATTTCTAAAATTACCTTCTTAGAAAGCCATTGCCCATCCAGTGAGCAATTAAATTTGTACTAACCTTTTGTTATAGATCATCATCTATTCTTAAAATGGTGTTAATCATCTTTCATTGTATTGCACTGTGGTCTGAAATGTCACCTGTACAATTTCTGCTCTTTTGAACGTGCTGAGATAGTCTATATATTATACTCTGGTATGTAAGTGTTTTTTAAAAAGTATTCCCCTATAAACAGGAGAGGAAAAGTGTGTCTTATTGCCAACTGTAAAACAAGAGAGAAGGAAAGGAGAGATATGGGGAATGTTTTAATCTTTGCAGTAGTCATCAGTCATCAGATAACAGGATTGACTACCCCTGATATTTATTTTTTTGTTCATAGCACAATTTTAGGATCTCTGAGAGGAGAAAAAAGTGTGTGTAGGGGATCTTGTGGAGGGATATAGTGCTTTTCTAGACCCTTTTGATGGACCAAGTTTGTCTTTTTTGTCATGTAAGTCTAAATAGATGACCAGTTGTTTCTCTCAATCCAGTTTGATCAGTGATAGCGTCAACATTTTTGGAGATTTTTAAACATTTGTGTTTCTGTCTCACCATGTTGATGTGGCTAAAGTTGGATTTTTTAAAAAGCTACGTTGATTCTTTTTTTTTTTTTTTTTTTTTTTTGAGACGGAGTCTCGCTCTGTCGCCCAGGCTGGAGGGCAGTGGCCGGATCTCAGCTCACTGCAAGCTCCGCCTCCCGGGTTCACGCCATTCTCCTGCCTCAGCCTCCCGAGTAGCTGGGACTACAGGCGCCCGCCACCTCGCCCGGCTAGTTTTTTCTATTTTTTTTTAGTAGAGACGGGGTTTCACCGTGTTAGCCAGGATGGTCTTGATCTCCCGACCTCGTGATCCGCCCGTCTCGGCCTCCCAAAGTGCTGGGATTACAGGTTTGAGCCACCGCGCCCGGCCAGCTACGTTGATTCTTTAGTAGGACTTTGGGAGGAGCACTGGTAAGCCTTTTTATAACATCAAACTTTGTAAAAGAAGCCCAAATGCACATTATAAAAAGTAAATTAGATAATACTGTACCCCTAATTGGAATCTCATCTTAAAATAAAATGTAAACACCCTGTGTAGCATGCAAATTCATTTTAAAGCCCCTGGCATATTTTCAAATACATTTTTAAACTTTTTCATGAATTGCAGTCTATCTTCAAACCCAGATAATTATTTTCAGTTGCTAAAAAGTCTATGTTTTCCTCATTCTTCAATCAAATTTAACATTTATCGAACATCTACTCTGTGTCAGAGACAAGTACCATATAAGGGGCTGGTGATATACAAGTGGATAAGTCAGAGTTGTGAACGCCTAACTTCCACTAATGATTGTAAATTGGCTCAGGAATCAACTCCCCTGGCAAGCCTGCACAGAGTCATGCTCAATCAGCACTTAGGCTTAGCTGGATTATTGCAGCTGTCACATGGTACTGTAACTGCTTGTTTGGTCTCGGAGAACTAGGACTCCACATCTCTAGAGTCTGGAACAGTACCTAGAATATCAGAAAATGTTCCTTGACATTTAATCAAGACTGTATTTGAGAAATAAAATTACAGTCTATATCCAGATAAAAAAGGAAATGATAAATACAAAGAGTCTGGAGTTCATGAGAGCAACAAGATGGGTGGGATCCAAGGTACTAAAAGAAGACTTACTTACATCATCAAGAAAACAGGTAATTGGAAAATCAAGAGAAGATTAACACTGGCAATGGAAATATTAGATAAAAGATAACTGCTATTTAGAGATCTGTGGCATAATTGGTAGTAAATCAAGCATACAGGACTTCGGGAAAGCTGATAAGGAGAATTCTTTCAATTAAAGGAAGCTATACTTTTATACAGACTTGGACTATAAATGTAATACATAAATTACAATGATTATCTCAATGTTCTTCATTCTTTAAAGTTAATGTATGCATTTCTAATAATTTCTAAAAAAAGAAATTAACATATGCAACATATGCAAATGACATATTTCAGGGTTAGTTATTTTGTAATTTTTTTCCAAAAAGTTACACAAAAGTGCACATAACTGCATAAAATATTAACCAATGCCATCCAAGTATTATATGCATTTGTGCAATTATTATAATCAAAATGATATAAGGGTTTATTTATGAATTCAGTAAGGTAGTTTTCTCAGTTAGGGTTACGTTTGTTATATATGCACCTTTTTGAAAACATGGTTTCTTGGAAACCTCCAATGTCTCTGAAATCAGAATATCACTGGGGTAAGCAGGGAAGGTATGTATATGTTTTTAGTGTTACAGGTGATTCTTCTGTACACTTCTTAAGATCGTAGATATAAGACTTAGGAAACAAAGTAAACTCTGTTGCTAACCCTTGGAACATAGCCTAGGACAACATTATTTAGCACATATAGTAATAGAAAAAAAGATAAAACAAATACCTGAATAAATATTGATATCTTCTCACCACATGCAGGCAATGGTATACTAAACCCCCGAAGTGTCTTACAGCTCCTTGTGATCCTGGTGCTGTGAAGTCAGCATGGCAGAGTTCCCTTCTGACACATCAGATTTCTAGAAAGTGTTTTCAGGCATGATCAGCAGGGAGCAAGCATCAAAAAATACTCTTGTAGTAACAGTATTCCACTCCACTGGACATTGTGTCTAAAAGACTAGGACCTCCTCTTTCAACTCCTGCTCAGCCAGCAAGAGACCAAGGCCCACCCTCGGTGCTTAGATTATTTCCCCTCAGAACTACAGAAGCATACATCACCCAGTAACAGATGAAAATGAAAGGGACAACTTCAACACGATGTCTTTAAAGAGGTGGAGATTCCTTAGATTTAATGGAAAAGCATATAATGCAACGATGAAAGAGGTGAGCTAAAAATACATGTATAAGCAATGATATGTCAGCATCTGAACAGCTACCCTGACTTGCGTCAGATGCTATTTGTAGTGAGTGTGTGTGTGTGTGTGTGTGTGTGTGTTGGGGTGTGGGGGCGGGTATACTATTTTTTGCATACTATGATGTTTTGACATCTTAAAAATCCTTTTTTTCTATTATGCTTTATGTTCTAGGGTACATGTACACAACGTGCTGGTTTGTTACATATGTATACATGTGCCATGTTGGTGTGCTGCACCCATTAGCTCATCATTTACATTAGGTATATCTCCTAATGCTATCCCTCTCCCCTTGCCCCACCCCACGACAGGCCCCGGTGTGTGATGTTCCCCCTCCCTGTGTCCAAGGGTTCTCATTGTTCAGTTCCCACCTATGAGTGAGAACATGTGGTGTTTGGTTTTCTATTCTTGAGATAGTTTGCTGAGAATGATGGTTTCCAGCTTCATCCATGTCCCTACAAAGGACACAAACTCATCCTTATTTATGGCTGCACAGTATTCCATGGTGTATATGTGCCACATTTTCTTAATCCAGTCTGTCGCTGATGGACATTTGGGTTGGTTCCAAGTCTTTGCTATTGTGAATAGTGCCACAACAAACATACGTGTGCATGTGTCTTTATAGCAGCATGATTTATAATCCTTTGGGTATATATATACCCCCGCCCCAGGATTCCCTATTTAATAAATGGTGCTGGGAAAACTGACTAGCCATAAGTAGAAAGCTGAAACTGGATCCCTCCCTTACACTTTATACAAAAATTAATTCAAGATGGATTAGAGAGTGAAATCTTAGACCTAAAACCATAAAAACCCTAGAAGAAAACCTAGGCACTACCCATTCAGGACATAGGCATGGGCAAGGATTTCATGTCTAAAACACCAAAACCAATGGCCACAAAAACCAAAGTTGACAAATGGGATCTAATTAAACTAAGGAGCTTCTGCACAGCAAAAGAAACTACCATCAGAGTGACCAGGCAACCTACAGAATGGGAGAAAATTTTTGCAATCTACTCATATGACAAAGGGCTAATATCTAGAACCTACAAAGAACTCAAACAAATTTACAAGAAAAAAAGAAACAACCACATCAAAAAGTAGGCAGAAGATATGAACAGACACTTCTCAAAAGAAGACATTCATACAGCCAACAGACACATGAAAAAATGCTCCTCATCACTAGCCATCAGAGAAATGCAAATCAAAACCACAATGAGATACCATCTCACACCAGTTAGAATGGTGATCATTAAAAAGTCAGGAAACAGCAGGTGCTGGAGAGGATGTGGAGAAATAGGAACACTTTTACACTGTTGGTGGGATTGTAAACTAGTTCAGCCATTGTGGTAGACAGTGTGGCGATTCCTCATGGATCTGGAATTAAAAATCCTTTCTGTCTGAGAAGAGACTGCCCCTCCTGCTGCTCCTCCATTCTTAGAAGGGCCTAGCTAGCCAGGAGGACACCTTTCATTTGCAAATGAACCAATCCAGAGCCAGCCCTCCCCTATCTGGCTCTTACACCCCAACAGGCAATATTCTTTTGCCTGAATCATCCCAGGGTGAGGTACCAGGTGACTAAGGTCCATCCTGTTGCTTGGAGCCCACTAACGTCATTTGAACTAGCTAATCCTAAACTGGCCACCCTGACTTACCTAGCTAGGGGAAACTCAAATAAAGGCTCAGCCTAAACTTTCCCCTTGCTCTTGTTTTCTGTCTTCTGACAACCCTGGTGTTTTTTCCACATGGTCCCATGTGGTATCTCATGTATACTGTGTGCAGGGCCTGTGAGCACAATAAAGTTCGTTTCTGGAACCTCTCCACTGCTCCTCATCTGACCACATCTGACTGACCATCACACAAAAGAACATGAAATACTCTATTCCTTCTCTTCAGGCACCCAAGAGGTCAGCATTAATTTCAAAAATGCAAGCAGAAAAGGCTTTGGATTCACTTGTTTTTTCACTCCCTTTTTCCACAGGATATCGCTTTTTAGCAGTGATTTCTGACCTTTTTGTTTGTTACCCAGGATATGACTTTATTGGCATAAATGAAGGAAAATTATTAAGTAAGGCAATTATCTTAAATATTATTAGCAAAATATAAAGAAATTGTGATATAACCTATATTTTTTCAACCTATGAAACGATAAAATCTATTAGTAAATGTAAGGACTACTTTGATTACAAAACAGTGATGTGAGATATATTGTGATAACTGCAAATAATTGTGATTTGAGAATATTGGATTTCTACTGGTGACAACGTCACAGAACCTCATACAACAATTGTGGGTTTTGGCCTACAAGGTCTGTGGCATGATTTCTGCCAACACCAATACTGGAAATCAATATGGCCTCTACCTCACACATATTTCTAGGTCCCTTTCTGCTTTTCAACAAGCAGATAAATCAGAAAGTCTCTGAATTGGCCACAGCAGAAACAGTTAAGGTTTGTGATTAGATGTCACATTAATGTTGGCAGTGGAAGTAGTGAGAGAAGGAGATGGGTAAATGGAACAAGTCTAGAACATAATGGTTCTCTATATCCCTGGCATATACATTGGCAACATCACTCAGGGATGAGACTCCATACCAGGCAAAAGGTGGAAAGGTCCCAGTTTAGAAACAGTCTCACCGTATTTTACACATGAAATCTTCCTTCTGCCTCAGAAACAGAGAATTAAAATGATTTCTGTGGCTGCTGGGAAATCCCATTCTTAAGGCAAAGGAAATACGTGTCCATTTCATAGTGAACTTTTAGACAGGAAAAGGCCAGCTGTCCTCAATGAATATAAATGTTAGAGAAATAGAAAACTACATATATCTATATATATCCCATCCTAACAGCCATGTCATTAAGGATACAGGAGTAGGCAATGTCTACAGTACCAAAGTGTAATTCCAAATTTCTGAAGTACATTCAAAATAAAAATAGAATTTATGCAATTAAAGCTTTGTAATTTGGACCACATTTGTGGAACGAGCATTGCCTTTGGGACGTGACTTTGGATAGTTATGCATGGGACTAGCTATAGTAAAATCCTTCTTCAGTGAAGTAATAGTGTAACATAATATGCACAGTCTACTGTATTTTTCAACCTACCCAAAGCAATTTTCTCTTTTCAGTAAGTTGTGCTGTACTTATTTACATACGATCATTATATTACTTGCCAAGATAATGTAAATATGAAGAATAACTAATAGGCATTTTAATGAAACATTTTGTAATTTTAAATCAAAGGCAGTATAGGTAGTGGTTGAGTGCGTGGTCTCTGGCTCAGTATCCCATCTCTGCCATTTGCCAAAGATGTGAACTTGAACAAGTCACTTAAATGCTCAATGCCTTAGTTTCCTCTATGTAAAATAAGAATGATCCCAATAGAATCTCTCTCCTGAACATATTGTAAATATGGAATGGTTAACTGTATGATGCTGTTAAAATAATGCCTGGCATGTAGTAAGCACTATACAAAAGTCATTTATCCATTTCCATACAGGATACATGGTCATAAAGAGAAACTTCTAGATTTCTTTAAAATGCGTAACTGTGCAGTGTTATCATTGGTACCAACCAAACTTTTCTTCTCTCTCTACAACTGATTTAGTAAAGTTGTCTTCATATTAGAAAGATTGCCTTACATTATTTTACTAGGAAAGAAAGTTTAGAAGAAAAGAGAAGGTTTGGAGTTTCTGTGGCAGGAGAGCAGCTACTTTTATATAGTTCGGTAAATCAATCTCTGTTGCTGAGCCTCAGAGGAGATAAACTTGGGGATGATTAGAAAGGAACGAAGAATGCACCGGTGAATAACATTATCCAAATTGACTGTTGTGACTGAAGAGATCCACTCATTAGATGAATATCTTCTCTTTCCTGATATGTTTCTTTATATGACTATAAACTATCAATTTTAGAGACCCACTTGATACAGTAGCTGATGTGTTGCACAGTTTAAGAAGGCAGTTTTAGCCTCCAATAGGAATTCAGAAATAACCATAATTCTTCATGGTGCCTTCAAAGAACATTCAAAATAAGGTCCAAACATGTAACACAGCAATAGTTACCAAGATTGCTTCTTACCTCACCAGCTCTCCAGCTCTCCAGCTCTCCAGCTCTCCAGCTCTCCAGCTCTCCAGCTCTCAGCAATTCTACAAGCCTCAGAACATTTCTTATGAATTTTACCCTTAACCTGTGCATTTTTCGCCCAGGCACACCACTTCCTTCTTGTGGCATTTCCTCAATATGTTGGCTCTTGCCAAGAAGTTTGTGTTCTCCTTCCACCATATTCTCTCCACTCTCAGTCCTTTTGGTGCCTGTCGGCCTCACATAGGCCCTCCCGCTCTACCACCTACAAGGTTGAATGGTGAACTGGAAGCCTTTTGAGGGCACTGAGATGACAAAGAATTATCTTTTGTATCATTTCCTGTAAAAGGGAGGATGTAGATTCCTAGTTTCTTAATATCTCTTCTAACTCTGAAATACTCTGCCTGTTAATAACCAGAGAATTATGACCTCCTAAAACACAGTGAAGAGGACCCTGTGTGGGCTCCTCTTCCTTTTGTTTCATTATTTCTTCAGTATGCTGCTAAATCAGCTTTGCTTCATCATAGGTCTGGGGGCTAGATTCCAGTCCAAGAGAATTACACATTTTCAGATAACTATTCTGAGGTTTTGTAAAAGTGAGTAAAGTTATCAAGAACAGTAACACACCTTGTTTGACTTTGTCTTTTATGCCTACAAAATGGCACCATACATTAAAACCATGGCATTCATATTGAGTTTAAAAATATCTGGGCATTGCTTTTTTGTGTGTGAAAACAAAAGATTTTGCTGAACAGTAAACCATCATATTATGTACCCTAGCAGGGTAGCATAATATAAGGGAAGCTTCAAAGCACAAGACAGTTCACTGATGACCAACTCAATAATACTGTGTAATAGCAAGAAGAAAATAAAAGATCTCTAAATACCAAATTCCCCCACTCCAGTCTGGTGATGGGCAGGTAGTAATCAATATCATTTTTCTATAGCGATCTTAAATTCCTAAAGACCCAGCATATAGCCAGTAA